ATGTGGGCTTTGTTGCTTCTGAGCTAGATGGCTGCTTGTTTACCTTCAAGCTTTTAAGACCCCAGACGCTATATCTTTTGATAGCCGGGCACCATTAGCTTTCTTCACCACATTTGCTTATGCACCCGCTTTGTCTTCAGCGGTTGTGTTGGGAAGGTGAGCATCATAGAATGCCAATTTTAATAGAAGAAAGTGTTTTTGCATTGAGGGAGTACTTGAGTGGAGGCCCCCATTGAGTGATGTTAACAGTGGAAAAACAAGATTTAGGAGGTCTGAATGGGAAGGGGGCTTGGAGAGAGTCTCCCTGTGCAGAGAAGTTCCAAAGCAGCCATGTCCAAAAGTGTGTGCATATACACTGGACTGGAAGATGTGTGCGAAGCTGCGTGGCCATAGTAATGGGAATCGACGTGGGTGAGAATGGGGGTTCTGGCCCCATTGTTCTAGATGGCCTTGGAGATCCATCGGCCTGCCAGCACAGGCCTCAGAACCCTGGCTGTGGACCTGGGTTGGCCGAGCCTCATTTTCCAGATGTGTGGGACAACAGGAGGGTGTGGCCTCTCCTCTGCAGTTTCCTGGCCTTTTGAGCCCACAGGGGGGTCACTAGGGACACTTTTATTTTGGTCCAGGGCATCCTGACCACAGAGCGAGATGGGACGCTCCTGCTAGCTCCCTTCATTTTTATTTCTAAGTCTTGGGGATCGCAGTTAGTTGGGTTTTGTGACATCTCACACAAGTGTTCTCCCTGTAAAAACCCACTCTGAAATTCTTTTCTTTAGTACGATGGCCCTCTCAGTCAGCATTGTTCTGGTGATTTCCTTTGCTCATGAAATAGGATTTCAAACTGCTGATTTGTATGAAAATTTGTTCTTGTTACAGGTACCTCAGTAACAATGAGCTGACAGCCATCCCATCCCTGGGCGCTGCCTCGTCTCACATCGTCTCTCTGTTTCTGTAAGTGGCTGCAGTTCATGCAGCGGGGTGGGGTGGTGGGGTTGGGGTAGTGGTGGTGGTGGTGGTGTGTATCTGTAAGTGGCTGCGGTTCACGCAGTGGGGGTGGTGGTGTGTGTGTGTCAGGAAGACTTGGCGTTTGCGCGCTCGCAGGTAAAGATGGCGCTTTTCATGGAACGTGCCTTGCTTTGCTGTTTTGAACTTTGCAGAATGAGGAGTTCAACCTTGGATCTGTCTTTTGGAGTCGTTTGCTGCTCTGTAGAGTCCAGACCTCATGGAGCTAGATTGCTTTTTCTTAGAGGGGAAGCCCCAGCTTGGGGCAGTGAATGAGAGTGGAAGGAAGCTGTGTGAAGAAGCACTTAGGATGCTAGTTCCTCCTTGTGCCCATGAGCTTGGCCTTAAAGAAAGGACAGCCTGGCCTCTGAAATCCTTATCACAGTCGCAACCTGTTGACTCTGACTGCACCCTGGGTTTGCTGGAAACCATGAAGAGACGAAGGAAGGAAGCCACATGGGGCCTCTGCTAGGGCTGAGAACCTCGCTTAGCCCTCACCTCTCCAGCAGTCGGGTGGAAGTGGGTGCTGGTGTCTTTTCGAGATAAGTGCGTCCCACAGTTGTTGTTTTTTCTTACAAATTTTACTGGAGTTTTTTAAGCAGCATACCTCCCTGTGCACGCTAAGTTTGACATCCACTTCATTCTATGGAGATTGATGCGGTTGTGATTTGGCAGTTTTTTAACCCATTCGCCCCCTGCATACATCGTTGCTACATGCGGGCTCCGCGGGCTGAATTGAAGAACTTGGCAGGAGGAAACAGCACCGGTCTCGGGGATTTTGCTGGCAGCAGGCTCTCTGCTCAGGAGATGCCGTGTTCCTCTACAGGGGTGTTGAGCAGCACTGTTTCCAAGGCATTGTAGGAACCTGGGATTCCCCTGTAACTCAGCCCCTGCCTTTTAACCTCCTCTTCTTCCTTTACAAAGTGTGCCCTTGGCCCCTTGCATGCAAAGGGAAAAGCTGCGGGGTTGGACGGCAGTGTGAGGTGTCCTGGCATCGTGCACGACACACATATATATAGTAGGTGGGTGACAAAAGGGGGGGGGCTTCCTAGTGGCTTGCTGTCACAAAGCCTCTCTGGTCTTGGCAAGATGTCACCTTTAGGCTCAGTTAAATTAATTCACCAAAGGTGAGCCTAATTAGGGACATGGTAATCCCTTTCGTATACCTAAAACCAGGCAGCTACATGCCCTTTAACCTCCTTGCTGCTGAAAGTGCAGGTTGTGCACCAGAGGTGAAACCTGGGTTCTGAGTGTGTCACGAATGCAGTCTCAGATCCTCTGTGGATCAGCGCAGTCAGCGGTTGCATTGATGCCTGCCCACCTGTCTGCTGAGCTCCATCACTGTGGAGAAGCAGGGCTGTAGCCACGTCTCTGTTACCGTCCCAGAGAGGACATCAAGGCTCCCTGCCATCCTGTCCTTAGTAGGTGGACCTGAGATGCCCATGCCTCGTCCCTGCAGGAGTTGGCAGGTAAATGCCTGAGACCCCAGCCTGCCCCGAGGGCCTGTGGCGCTTTGAATCACACTTTGCTCCGCTGACTAACAGCATATTTCTGTTCCTTGGCTCCAGTGCCAGGAGCAGTGGTGCTGGCTAGCCGGGTTCCATTTGACAGAGTTAAACGATGTAAAGCGATGGGGGGAGGGCTCCTGTCCCTGTCTCTCCCCCTTTAGATTCTATTTGGAAAATTTAGGTTATCATTGGCCTGAAGCTGGTCTCCATCTGACGTGTGGTCAGGGAGTTCCCTGTACTGACCAGAGATGGAAGGGTTACCAGCCTCCATGTTTTTTTCATGGGGCTGTGTTCTCTGATCTTGCTCCCGGAACCTGGATCCTGTGTGACAGGATTATAGAAAATCCCCCTGCCATCTTCCTATGGCTGCAGTTGTGGCCCACACTCCCTCCTCAGGTGACCTCTGCAGGCTGAATGGGATCAAAGCTCCCAGCAAAGTCACCTGCCTTGGCGCCCTGCTGGCACAGTGGTTTGAACCCACAGCTGCTCTGGGGGTAGTGGTGACTTACCTCGGGGTAACCTGTGGCAAGGGGGGTGAGCAAGCCTGGGGAAACACCCCCCGAGGCAGCTTTACTCTGCCCTGCACGGTTGCTGTGAGTATGAATCTGCTAAAGAGCAACAAGATTCAGTCTGTGCCATAGACGTTCACACTAAATCCCAAGTTCTTGTTCCCATTCCCCCTTTCTGGACAGGCAAGAGGACCATGAAAACAATCCAGAACATGCAAAGAGGTAGAATTGGTGTGTGCTGAGGCCAGCTGAGGCCAGTTTTAGGCAGATGGGCTGTCTCTCTTGGATGGAATTTGCTGAATGAGGGGCTGAGGAGATGTTGAATGTATCCAGCACCCTTGTCGATCTTATCCTTGCTGCCTTTGTGACCCTGTAGCCAGGAGACTCATGTCAATGGAAGAAATAGCTCAACATCCCCACGCCCCGCCCCCAATCTGGGAACTCCGGTTGCTGCTGTATTTTCAGTTTGGGATTTCAGCTCAAACCCCTGTGATTACAAGCATTGATTGGCCTGTGGATCTCGGTTGTGTTTGGAAGTTGGCGCTTCATTCCTGCTGGGTGTCGTCTCCTTGCCCCCTTACCCACATGCCTGGCACTAGGTCCCAGTCCCCGGCCAGCACACCCCCTCTGCTGGGCTCTCCCAGCTGGGAAGGCCTTTGGCTGTAATATTGGCGGCTTCGGCTCAGACCAGCATTCCAGGGTTGTGGAAACTGTAGCCCCACAGCTGCCCAATGGCAGTTGGTGATTACTTTCTGATGAAAAGAGGTTAATTCTGCTGACGCGTTTTCAAGCAGCAGTTATCTGCATTTTATGTGTTGAGAATTGTGCCAAAACCACCTGTCCTTAATACAAAGAAAGCACAGCCCTCACGGAGAGCTTTCGGTAGGACGGGGCTGGCGCGAGGCGGCTCATTCTGTAAACTAGCGCTCCGGAAGAGAAGCCCACTTTTGCTATGTTGAGGGTGGGGTTGGGGGTGTTTATGTTTGAGACTTAAAGAAATGTTAAAGTCTAGGAAACTCCTGTAGGATCCCCACAGTACAGCAATTTGGTCAGACGTAGAAGCAGCATCTTCCTGCGGTATTCCTGCACGTGTCCCATTGGAAAGGTGGGTGACAGTGACCATTGTTGCCCCTTTCCCAGTTCTAGGATGAAATCAAAAGCTTGCTGAGAAATGGCCTTTGGTTGTAAAGGTGGGCAGTTCGTGCCGCCTCCTGGCTGTTGGTTATTTCCCGCATGGCACTTTGCTTCACTCCTGTAACTCCTCTTCCAGTTGCTGCTAGATTCCAGGACCTTGTGCCCTAACCAGGAGCCCTGGTGGCATAGTGGTGGCATGGCGGATTGCTCATTTGGCTGCGATCCTCAAGGCCAGCAAGTTTGAAACCATCAACTGCTCCTAGGAAGAAAGATGAGGCTTTCTACTCCTTAACCAGTTTCAGTCTACCCTACCCTGTACACTGAGCCAAAGCTGACTCCGTGAGAGCTCTTTTTGTTTCTTTAACCATACCCTTAACCATACCCTGGCTTTTTTACCCCGGCCTTTGTCATACATCAGCCAGGAGCCACAAGCGAGTGCTAGCTGTGCACAATTACTTGTCAGTTTTTAACACTGCTATTAGAAGTTCTTAGGTTTGTGATGTATTTTGTAACTTTGCTATTACAAGTCCTTACGCTTATGTCGTATTTGGAACACCGTGAGATGATACCTTTTACTCCTAATTCTGTGGGAGAGGAGGGCATTTTCGCAAACTATTTTTAAAAAATTCAGATAAAAGTTATATCACACGGTTTCCTTTTCCTACCATTTCAAAGTTTGCAGTTCAGTGGCTTTACACTATTAGCTAGTTTTCAGAACGTTGCATCACCCCACTGAGAAACAAGGAGCCATTAGCACTTCCCATGCCCCCTTTCCTTCAGCCCCTGGCATCCACTAATGTGAAAACAAGTTTTCATGAGCAAAGTGCCGCCTTCATATTAGCAAATGTAGCTGGAAATAAAAATATCAGCTGCTTTTACCTATGGTGGTTAGCCGAAAACAAACTGGTTAAATGAAAGGATGGAATATGAAAATCTTTATTGTAACTTGGGGAGCAGCAAGGGGGTCGGGGCGTGAGATGTGGTGGCCTGTCTGCGACCCTTGAGTGAGTCACAGTGGGGAAGCCTCCGTGGGGGTGGTGTCCACTAACTCCTTGCTGTGAAGTGAAATCAGTAGGAACACTTAACTCTCCACCAGCCCTCTGCTGGCAGTCTAGGGAGAGCAGGGGAGGGGATGGATCAATCTTCTTCACAGGCTTGTTAATGTAAAGATCAATTCACATTAATGTGTAATTAAAGAGCAAGCCTTCCTGGGGAGGCTGTGGTGATCTGAGCTTGCAGCTGACAGCTCTGGGCTGTGGAGAATAATTAGAGATGCTCAGTGGGGCTCCTGGGGAAGCCAGGGAGAAGGACCCAGAAGGCAACCTCAGAGGGGCCCAGGGCTGTGAGTCAGGCCTGGAGCAAGGGTGATGCTACACTGAGTCACAGTCACCCGACCTTCCTAAAAACTGTGTGTCAGAGGGGAGTTTCACTTTCTTTAGGAGGTGGTTTGAGGCCTCCTGCCTTTCTCTGAACAAAGCTCCCATGAGGACCTTTTCTTATGGCAATCACCTGAAAGAAGACTGTCTGGGGTGCTCTGTGATGAAGCCCTGTGCTTGCTGGCCCGAGGCCGGATCCTTGGGGAGAGCACAGGGTGGAGTGGATGCGGCACAGGGCCCTCGCCTGCTGACCATCTATAAAGTAAGCGTGGCCCTAATCATGGGTGGACTTAGGAGTCGGAGAAACAGCTTAAGTCTTCCGGGAGCCGTCATCTTGGGCTTGGTTTCGGTGCACTCGGTTTAACCTCTTTTGAAGGAAAGCCACTCTGGTGACCTTACTGTATCTCCATTGGAGCTTCATT